AGTGGCTAAAGGCGACACGGCAAGATTTCTAGCCATGGATCACCCTTGTAACTATATCCCCTATCAGTAATATCTTCACCTTTTTTGCACCATTATTTTCTTTCTTTTACTTTCTTCATTAGGACGAACGAAATGGACCAGCAGGTCTCCGAGTGGAGCGGTTACCAACAGGCAACCGCGCGTCCTTTAACCTAACCTAACCTATGGCTGAAGTATCTCATCTTCTTAATAATCTGTCTTGCCGCGATGTCCCATTCTCGGTGGGGTGTTAGCAAATTGTACCATCCGAAAATGTTGATTCCAAATGTTACGTTTCTACCCATAGCAGAAGATGCAGTTAGTTAATTTAATTCGAGTCTCAGTTCCACATGACTAACGGCCCCTGGCCTCTCGGGCTCCGTGTATTTGTTACTTCCTCAATTCTGACTGGAGAACATCATTAAATTCTGGAGAGTGCCAACTAAAGGTCTTCTATAAATGCAGGACTTAAAACGGATCTTCTACACCCAAAAGGCCCTCAATTGGCCTTGTTTGCACAATAAAACACATGCCACATTATTTTTTTTCAATATTGTTTTAGGATATGTATTTATATTAGTTATTGTTACAATATTTAAATATACATATGTTTGTGTTTGTGTTTGCGGAAAACAAAAAGTCAACACTGACCACACAAACCCACACACCCATACACACGAGTATGGTTTCAAACATTGTTTATTGCATAAATTGGAAAGTTTCCTATGTAAACATTGTGTTGCGGAAGTACCTTACTCAAACTGTCTTCTTCACTCACTCTCCTCATTCTTCAAACTCAGACACACACGCACACACACAGAGAGAATACATATAAAATTAAACACATGTTAATGTCATGAATGTCAATAAACTAATGAACCTAAGACATTTTCGGTGAGGACAATGTAAACATTAAACCCAGGAAACACAAAGGCAAAGACACGCATGGACACATACGCACACACACACACTCACGCACACGAAAAAGTCACTCATATATTAACAAATGATTACAAAGCCAAACACACACAGGGCACACACACTCATATGTGTGTGTGTGTCTACCCATGTCCATCTACATCCAACATGTGTTGCTTATGCCTTATTAACACATAAAAGTGTTGCAAAATATTTGAACAATCAAATTGTTGTTATTGTCCTTTCGCTTCTTCCTTGTCCTGGCAACTAACCATACCTAACTGCATAAAGGGGAGTGTGTGTGAATCTTTGGCACATTGTGTAAAGCAAATTACGGCTCTCTCTCTCTCACACTCACTCTCTTTCATTTTGTGTTTTGGTTTTTGGTAAGGCTAATTATCAAGAGATCCCCAACACACCGTTACCATGGCAGATTGGCTTGTTAGTTGACCGGTTCAAAGGCAAATATGTTGACATATTTGTTACACACTTTGCAATTAATAATGGAATATTATCAACAATTTTTCCTATGATTTAATGAACATTTTCTCTGAGCAAATAACCAACGGCACTTTTCTGGGAATATTTCGTAAAGGAAAACAATTATTCGAATGGTTATAATATGAAGTGGAATTTATTAGTTTTTTGGGGAATGTGTGTGTGTTTGTGTGAGAAGTCAAATAAAAATATTCCGTTTAATATAAGAATTAATGACAATATTGAGTAGAGAGAAATTGATTAAGAGAGAGATGTAGCAAAGGGAGTTTGTAGAGACGTAGCGTTAAATATTGGATTTTGCTAAGACGAACCCTAAAGCAGAGAATCTATGCAGTTAAGGAAGACTTTTAAGGCCTGATTTGGAACAGACCATCGCCAAATTATAAGGTCTTCCTTCGAGCGAATTAATCTTAAAATAGCTGTTATTTTATCAGATGAAATGTTAAAATTCATGCTTAGCAGAAGAATCTCTCTATAGAGGAACTTGGAAGCTGAGAGGTCAGAAAGACATTTAAGACTTGCTGAGGGGATGATATATAGGGTGAGATAAAAAATACTGCAACAAAGTCAAAGGCCATAATTTTTACATTTTTTTTTAATTTTATTGAATGAAATTTTAGAATAAGTTTAGATTTGTTCGAATTGGTCATCTTTGGCACGAATTATGGCCTTCAAATGGCCAATGAAACGTCACATGCTGCCCGAATGTTGCTCTGCGGTAGTTTCGCCCATTCCAAAATACTCCAGACACGAAGCAACTCTTTAGCTCTATTGAGTATATTTTCTTTATGTAGCGGCGTAAGTTCTTGCACTTTTTGGAATTTCAATGACTTTACCCCGAGCTAATTTTTTAATATTTGCCGAATGGAACAGTGCGATATGTTCAGCTCACGAGCCATTTTTCGACCATTGCGACACGGGTTTCGATCAAGTCGCTTCATTACTTTTCGAACCATTTCTGCCGATGTTGCTGTTTTCTTCCGCCCACTTCCTTGACGTCTGGCTATGCTACCACAGAATCACGGTAATGAGCGATGGTATGAGACACAAAAGATTTTTTTCACATTTAAATGCTGGAGTGCTCCAACAATAGTCACTTGTGGTTTTCCAGCCAAATATAAAGAAATCACACTATCACCCTCGAATTCCATCACGAATATCTTTTTTCTGGAAAATTCTCACTAAAGAGAAAGATTTATTATAACTTCCAATCTTTCAGGATATTTCTTTTCCTTGATACGTCCTCATTCGGCTGCCATCTGCCAGAAATGAATCATAAATTGTCAAGTTTGGTTGCGATTTCCAGTTCTTTTTCGGTTGATGAAATAAATTGTTCAGCGCCATCTATATGTCGTTGAAATTATTCCCCATTGATTTATCATTTTGTTATTTTGGATAAGAGATGGCGCTGTTGAAAAGGAATAAACTAATGCTATGTTCATATCGAACGTAATTTATCTCCATATAATTCCTAATTAATAGAAGAAAATAATAAATAAATGCATTTCAAAATAAAAAATGGAAATTGAACGATTTTCAGTAAAAATTACATAACATAAATGAAAAATACAAAAAAAATAACGGCACGGTCAAACATAAAACGCTCTTTTGATTGGCTAGCTTAAGTCATCGGCTGGCTTCTCCTTAGAGAAACCAAGGGGTTTTAGGTCGGACTTAGTTTGACTTTGTTCTTTTCCAGCCGATGACTTAAAGGTGAGAATAAATAAAACGCTATTTTGCCTGGCCTATGACGTCGGCTGGCTTCTTTGTAGAGGAACAAAGGAGTTTTTGGTTGACTTAGTTGGATTTTGACCCTGCGTTCCTTTGTTCTTTTCCGAAGAAGCCAGCCGATGACTTAAGCTGGGAATACATAAAGCTGGAAATACATAAAGCGCTTATTTGGCTGGCTTCTTCGTAAATGAACAAAGGAGGTTTAGGTTGACTTAGTTCGATTTTGGCCCTAGGCTCCTTTGTTCATTTCCGAAGAAGCCAGCCGATGACTTAAGCCAGCCAGATAAGCGCTTTATGTATTTCCAGCTTAAAGCGCTTATCGGGTTGGCTTAAGTCATCTCCTGGCTTCTTCGGAAATGAACAAAGGAGCCTAGTGCCAAAATCGAAATAATTCAACCTAAAACTCCCTTGTTCCTCTACGAAGAAGTCAGCCGATGACTTAAGCCAGCCAAATATGCGCTTTATGTATTTCCACCCTTAAGCGAGTAAAAAAAACATTCTATGTATTCTCACTTTAAGCCAATCGCAAAAAAAACATTTTAAGTATTCTCACCTTGAGGCAAGCGGCTAGAATGCCTTATGCTCGTTTTCGAACTAATTTTTCTCCCACACTAAATCAAGTAAAGCATGCTCGTCCTTATTAGAGCGAAATCGAAAAATAAAGTTGGCTCGATTTTTCTATGTATTTTCTAGTTAAGTATTCTGCTCTAGTTTGGTAAAAACTACGATTTTTAACATTTTTTTCTGAGTTAATGCGTTGATATTTGACCCAAAAATCGGTTTTATGACCCGGATCTACTGCTGATACCCATTTGATCCCATGTGTAATTGAGAGTTATATCTAAATTATAGATTTTTTCGGCACGGATTTTTATAATACCCCCAAAAAATCGGAAAAGGGTCCATTAGAACAAGGTTTGAGATGTTTTCATCTGGGGCATGTCTAACATCAGCCACGCGAAACCAAAGTTTTTGGTTCAAAACATTATTTCAATGAACCGAACCTAATCGGTTTGTGTGGGTTCAAAGGCACATATAATTTGGCATTTATTTAGATTTCTCCCATAAAGGAACCTTTTTCGACTTTTGAACGGTTAAATTAAAAAAGGCAAAAATCGCTTATTTTTATATAACTTTCGAAACGGCTTAAAATATTAAATTATAATTTACCCACTTATAAATATTTTGCTTTCAAATTATACCTACATTGTCTATATTTAGCAGATATGGATTTTGAACGCAGACTTTCGGTAGCCCGGGACCATCCCACAAGTAAAATAAATCTATCTGTCCTACTTTAAGCATACAACATAATGCCTTTGTAGGTGATTCAAGTCAAACAAGAGAATATATAGAGCAAGAAGTAATTTTACTCAGTTGTGTGGTATCTAATGGTACACTAACAACTTCGACAACTTTAAGTCTCTGGAGGAATCCAAAAACAAATCAAGAATTTGGCTCCATGTCTGAATATTACCACACCTTTGGAACTGGAGAACCATCCATCCTATCTTTGCTCATATTTGGCGCAGAAAGAACTTGGAACAGAACTAAGATTTATGTGGCAGCTACATCTTAATTTAGACCTAATCTAAAAGGGTTCTTCCGAGGCCCACACAAGTACACTGTACGGGATTTTGTTAAATTCGGACAATAAAAGCGACTTGAGCTTGTAAAAATACATTGACAAACGGACATGGAATGAGATCCTATGCAGATCTCCAAATGGAACTCTGGATCTATATTGTTTCAACACAGAAATTCGTTCACCTCCAATGCGCCACTGGCTAAATTGCTTTTGATCCTGAAACAATATTAAAGAAATCATACAAATATTATAATTTTAAGGATTAAATATAGATTTTATTAATACGCATATAAACTTAAATACATCACTTGTTTTTTTATATCCACAATTCTAAACACTCTCGTAGTAAATAACCAAATGCAAAAAATTATCAGGATAGCTAAGATGTTCCGACATCCATTGCAGATGCGTTTCGCTGTGAACGTCTATGCCATGCGTTTTGGCACCAACAGCTTTCCGTTTGGGTGTTGACAATTCGTCCAGCAAATCTTTCACAGTTTTTTTCTTTCCACTCTCTGTGAGAGGTGACACCAGCTTCTGTATGTATGTACCATCCTCATTGTAAAATCGTATGGGTGTATATTTGAAACATTCCTGTTCACCATTAAGTTCCATCAGTCTACGATTTACGGCCCAAAATTGATCAAACTTATCGTTTACTAATCCAATCCATAATTGATTGTGTTCCTTCTTCTGCATCGAGGAAATAACTTGACCTCTATGCTTGAGCACATCGGCTTCCTTCAGACATGACATAAAATAAGATTCCAGTAAGTCTTTTGTCTCGAATTTCACCAGCGAATCCTCTGGGAATTTTGAGAAGTGTATCGTTAAGCACCATGGCTGGCTTCCCTCTTCTTGAAACAAATCGTACAGAATACCTATGGGGTAGTGAAGTTTTAATGGGGCTCCATTGTAGTCAAACCATACTGTTCCATCCTGCTGACTGTCGGAGATGAAGCGACTAAAATACTTTTTAACTTTGTCTGTGACCAGGGGTAAATAACTGAGACGCGACACCATCAAATAAAAGTTTTCTGGCTGTTGAAGACCCACTATTTCGTCAGGATCTGCTTGAAAACATAAGGCCAATTGCCCCTCCCATATCATCCGGAGAACTTCTCTATCGTTGGCCATTAGATACTGATTAACTTTAAAAGAATCTTTCACTCAAGTTAAATTATTTTCGCTTATTTGTTTTTTCTTTACTTCTCTACTTCTCCTTTCTTGAAAGGAGAACTGTTTTGCAAAGGGTGGCATAGGGAATCATAGGTCGACTTTTGTTCGTGTCAACAACAGCAGATATAAGGCGTGGACGATAACCCAATAATATATAAAAATTATTACAAATTGTTCGATAGCCCCAAAGTTCAGTGAGTTACGAGAGAACATTTTTGACGGTTGCGTTACTGTAGGAATTATTAAGTTTTATTAGCTTATTATCGATAACATTTTTCAATTGTTTATTATTTCGGTATTTTACGAATTTTTCCACTTTTTCAACTACGAGAGTAAGATCCGCCGATAGACACAATGTTGTCAAGTTCTACATCATTTTCTTACATGAAAACTTTGCCTTTCAAAGTTACCGATTTTCGTTGGTTTGCTTTGAAACTAGTTCTCATAGTTCCGTTTAGTGAACATTTCTTTGAGCTCAACTATTCAACACTCGTTCCTTAGTTTCTACAATGAACAACAAGAACAATCGCGTTTCTTTGTTTTGATTTTAGTCTTTATCATTTATTGCTTTGTCCCTCCTTAATTATTTATGGCGACGGCAGTTAATTTAAGGGCTTTGTAGTCTGGTGCAGCTCTCATATTCCAATTAAATTCCGGCAGTACCAGCAATAACAAATTATTAAATTCAAACTAAACATTTCCAGGTCCAGAAATAGTCCCTTAAAGATTTCGGAATTTGCCACGGTGTTCCACAAATTATTGACCTCCGAAAGTGATAGTAAAAACCCAAAAGTAGTGACTCAGTGAGGAGGTCGTTCAGTTCATAACAAAACCAAGCAAAACTATTCAAAAGGCAAAGAAAAGAAAAAATACGAAGTCCAACCATTGCTGTGTGTGAATCTGTGTGTTTGTGCGTACACACAGCTCGCCAGTCACTTGAACTAAAGAACAACAAGGGGGGAACATTTTCTACCCTAACAAGGTGAATATTTTTGCAGAAATGATCTTGACCATGTTTGTCCTATTAATAGCTTATTTGTTTTCGGTGTGTTTCTATACGTAGGCACTCACACGCAATCCAAAGAAATGGCAACAGCTGCAGGGCCAAGTGATACCAGTGTTTTGAATAACACCACAGCGGCGACGCCGGTGCCCACAAATCCTCATGAATTGGCGTTACAAAGTTTATGCAAACAAATTCTCAAATCACGACTCTTTCGTGGTTTCTATGAAGAGCGACGTTATGTGGACAACGTCCAAGGTTACAGGGACATTGTCAGCCTACACAAATCGGAGAAAGAATTGAATAAACTACTCAAAGACATACGTGACAAATTGCAAATGTTCTATGCACAACAGAATCCTGATATGTGGGTTGGTGTGACATGTGGGCCGCTGGTTGGCAGCAAACCTACTCCCGGAGCCATGGATACATTTATATGGGCAGAAATTGAAGATTTGGCATTTGGTCAGTATTGGTTTTCCATAAAATCTCTACGGTTTCGTGCCAACGAAGTAGTGGTGAAATTGAAAGTGGTGCGCTCTGTAGATTCTGAGGAAATGTCAGAGAAATATATCAAAACCTCAACGGTATCAACGGAAACTGCCCAGGCAGACTCCACAACCACCGGTACTAATACAGCATCCGCAGCTGTAGATGGTGTTGCGGAAAAAGAAGTGAATTTACAAGATTTTGCAAACCTCTTCCAGCAGTGGTATGCTTCGTTTAAACAAACCATCTATGACTTTATGGCCAATGACATTTCCAAAGAGAATTTGAAAGGTGTTATACGCTTCTTGGGTCTAGTCATTGTCTCATTGTGTTCAGGTGCATTAATGGCGGTGAAATTTTTGGGTATTTTCGCCATACGCTTTATGTTCGAATTTAGCCGACTGACTCATGTCCTAACGCCAATTATTTTGAAGATAATTGAAGTATTTAATAAAATTGTGGGAGGTTTTTATCTTCTACTGGCAATGATATGGAAAGATGCCGTGGTAAATCGTAATCAACCAAAATCGGCAATGCCAGCATTGGAATATAATCGACCCATGTATAAGAGTATTCAGTATGATGTGCGACAGAGACGATCTACAGGTGCAGCGGATCAGCAATGAAATTAAAAACTAAAATGGATTGACAACATTTGGTCAAAAGGTATGTAACTATAAAGCATGGGTCACGAATAATCTTGTTTTATCGTCTTATTGACAGTTGAGAAGAAGGTTCGGAAGAAAACTGATGATTATCTGTTGGACATTTACGTTTCTATAAATAGCAAAAAGAAGACATTTTAGAAGTCTTTAAACAAAGACCTTTGGAAGAGGAAAATTGTTGGGAAAACTTTTTGGAATAGAATATTCCACCGGAAGTTATTTCAGAAGAACGTTAGGGAAACAAAAATCGAAGCTTTTTTTAAAATGTTGAGTTTGAAAGTTAACGGCTTTTGTCGGTAACCAGAAAAAGCGTTGGGGAATCCTACCACCTACATTATAAAGAATACCTGTGAAAATTATAAAAATAGCATTGGGAGAATCATTGGGAAGGGTTCGTGACCGACACTAGTAATACAACTGCTAAACTAGTTCTAACTCTAAGTTCAAGAATTCAGCTAACTTTACAGGCTGTAGTTAACGATCTTCAGGAGTAATTTGGGTGGGCTTGGCAGATCTTAATCACTATTTTTTGGAATTTGACGCCATCAGAATGGCATTTAGGTTGGTTGGTTCGGTTCGATAACGACGTTTGTGCTAAATTGGCCTCCTATCTTATTGAACCATCTACCCTCTTTCAGGCGAGGGAACACGAAAATATTTCCCTCTAAACCTACAGCCATGCTGGCTTACAAAGATGAGCATGCAGCTAAATGTAAAGATCGATCGACACAATAGTGACTACGCATTGCCCCAAGATTATATTGATCACATCTATAGTATATTTGAGTTCTCCGCGCAGTTTAAAACTATCTACGATTAATTAAAAAATAGAAGCAAGGACCTTTTATCTCTATCCTGCAGTACTCCTTTTAGTACCTGGAAGAAAGGAGTGAGTCTTATAAAGACATCAGAGACGATGCTTCTTACAGTACATGATACATGTTTCAATGACCTTCTAAGTCACACAACCTATCATACGATGGACAGAGCTTCCCGATCCTATAGTGTCAGAAAGATCTACTCTATAGAGGGCGGTCCAATGCTTATCAATCAATCAGACCAGATTCACCGATGTCATGATAAATCGATATGGTTTAAATTGGGTTTTCGGAGTCCATACCTTCACAGGACCTCGTTCAATAGCTTGGTTAAACTAATCCAACTGATTTCCCAGTGATTTATTTAAAAGTACCTACATTTTTAAACCTGAAGTTAGTAAAAAAATATACAACTCTTTCAAGAGAAGAATTTTAGAATTCTTTGATATATTCCACAGATAGAAAATCATCCAATTATTTTCACCAGAAGATGGAGCCATATTTTTCAAATGTTAGGTATATTTTAGTGAAGTGAAACATAGATAATACTCGTTTCTCTTCTTACGTATTGCCTATTTATATTTATCCGAATAATACTATATTTTTCATTTTTTTCAGACAATGTGATTTCAACTGCAATTTCTACTCACGGAGACTATTCCTCGTTTATTTCGGAATTAAAGGACTTATCCTAACTGATCTAAAGAATATAAAATGCTAATAACTGTAGAAAATTGTATGTAGGCTTTTAAAGTCTGTACAACATTTGGATAATAATAACATCATTTAAACGAAAGGATTAGGTTTTTTGCATGACAATACAATATATTTGGCAATTAATTATATGGCTTTAACAACGATTACATTAAATAGCTGGAGGACTACAAAAATTCTAGTTGGAATGTCAAAGTATTTGAGCAATATACTTACAAAGCAAATAAACGGATATTGGGTATAGACTTATGAAAAACTCCCATCGTTTAATAAAAGAAGATCTTGTTTGTTCCTGTATGACCAAGGCCTAAATAAAGCCGGCCAGTAAGACCATCTGGCTATCAAGTTTGCTTTCTAAAACATAATTGTAAATTGAAATTTAAAGAAACTCAAATCATAAGTGGTCTTCTTGTCCGACCTCATATAGGCCTTGTATATGACGAATAGGAAAGGAAAATACCATTCCAAATGTGGCTTTCAAATTTTTTATGAAATTCAAACAAATCAAGTATTCGATAGTTGTTTGGGATTGTGTTTATCTTTTGCGTTCTTTTATTATATAGTCATAGAGGAACAGGCTCTTAAAATCATTTGCTATGTGTGTGTATATAGGTCCCAAAATACTTGCCTAACAATCCGAACACTTACTTCTCCAGCTATGTATGTATGATATTATTTTTTAGTAAAAATGTTTTATTATAAATTATCTCCTCTAAATTTACCTTTTTAAGCAAGCAACAATTTTGTATTAAGACGAAAAAATATATAAGCGAAATTAACTGGAATGTGGGTTAAATTGTATTTATTATTAAAAAACATATAAAAATATTAAAACATTTAGAACAATTTTATACAAAACTCAAGTGGTATCTTACACAAAATAAATGTCTAAACCTTCCTATACACCTATTTTTATATATACTCTTTAGACATATTATTTTCTCATGCACCATATACAGTCTCTATAAAAGAATTTGTCACAAAATACAAGTATAAACTGGGTACAATACTTACCTAAATGGGTATTTATTGTGCAGATTTTTTTTCAGAGAAAACAAAAAAAATATGTAAAAATGTTGTGCTTATATTTTTAATTTATTTGTTAGGCAAATAAATTTTAAAATGCAAAAGTTCATTAAAAATTGTAAAATTTAGTTTGTTTTATTAAATTATAAATCAGCTTTTCAGGATAATAGGGACTGATTATTCCACATATATGCATCGCTCCCAATTTACGACTCGAAGTGTTATCCAAATTTTTTAGTTCCTTTTCTTTCAAAATATTATAAGTCAAGCTTGGATACGCTAAATAAACTCCAATGTCCTGAAACGAATTTCGTCATAATATACACCTAATACACAGGGTGAGATGAAAAAACTGCAACCAACTTCAGACTGCTGTCATTTCTGAGCCACTCGTCCGACAGCTGTTAAAATTATTCCTGTGACAGCTGATAATATTGTTAACAAGCGTACTAAAGCATTTTGCTGAGAATTGTCCAGAAAAAAAGTTATTCGTGACGGAATTCAAGCTTGATAGTGTGATTTCTTTATATTTGGCTGGAAAATCAGAAGTGGCTATCGTTAGAGCACTCCAGCATTTAAATGTGAATAAATCTTTTGTGTCTCGTACCATGGCTCGTTACCGTGATACTGGTAGCGCAGCCCGACGTCAAGGAAGTGGACGGAAGAAAACCGCAACATCAGCAGAAATGGTTCGGAAAGTAAAAAAGCGACTTGATCGAAACCCGCGTCGCAGTGGCCGAAAAATGGCTTGTGAGCTGAACGTATCGCAATTCGGCAAATATTGAAAAATGAGCTCGGGTTAATGCCATCGAAATTCCAAAAAGTGCAAAAACTTACACCGCAACAGAAAGAAAATAGTCTCAAATGAGCTAAAGAGTTGCTTCACTTGGCCGAAAGTGGTGAACTGGTGAATTTGTTTTCTCCGATAAGGAAACATTCGTTGTCCAGCAGTTTGTAAACAAACAAAATGATCGTGTTTTCTTGCCAAAGAGGTCAGCTGAAAATGTGCACCTTCGGTTGGCCACCAGAACTCAAGCGCCGGCCATGGTGATGGTGTGAGCCGCTATAACAGCCGATGGTAGCTCTCCGCTCGTATTAATCGACCGTGGCATTAGAATAAATTCCGGATATGATCGCGAAAATATTCTAGAGGGTGTATTAAAGCCTTGGGAACGCCAACATTTTGGCTGCAGACCTTGGACATTCCAACAGGACTCAGCACCATTGCACTCAGAACGCGCCACCCAATAATGGTTACAAAATGACGTTCCTCGCTTCATTTCCAGCGCACAATGGCCATCAAAATCTCCGGATACCAATCCGTTGGACTATTGTGTCTGGAGTATTTTGGAAAGCAAGATTGGCACTAAAAAATGCTAAAGTGTCGATCGCCTCAAGCAAGCGCTTCGCCGGGAATGGGCCAAAATACCGCAGAGCAACATTCAGGCAGCGTGTGACGGTTTCATTGGCCGTTTGAAGTCCATAATTCGTGCCAAAGGTGACCAATTCGAACAAATCTAAACGTATTCTAAAATTTGATGCTATTTCCGACATGTTTTGCTTTCGTTTTATAAAATTAAAAAAATTTAAAAATTATGGCGTTGTTGTTGCAGTTTTTTATCTCACCTTGTATATGATTTAAGGGTTTAAATCGGAAAAAAATCGTCAATTTTTGTTGAAGGGTTTACACATGGATACGTTGAAATATTTTTGGACATATTTTTCACATTCCAATAGAAGATCCTATCAATTTCCTTAAGAAAGCTCTATTATCTATATATTTATAGGAGAACTGTAAAAAGTCCTTTATCTTGAGTCCTTTACGTGTACAAAGCCTTTCATTAACACCAAACCTTCAAAAGATTTTCTAACTAATATCCTTCTACGTTTAAAAGGCATACCTAAGGATATAAGAATATGTATGTAAGTCTTTACAGGGTATAACATCTAAAGAATACCAGTAGAGGGACTTATGTTCCCAAAAATGCTCCTAAACAATATTCTCATTGTAGAAAACATTTAGAAATATTCAGATATAGGAAAGACCCCTTAAGGTATTCTATAAAAAGAATATAATATCTTAATGTAAGGCGTTTAAAAAATCTTATATCTATTTAAGGGTATTTTTTACCTATAGAAATCCTGTTGGAAGCCTTATACCTACAGAAAATCCATAGGTCGCATTTTATCTACAGAAGAAGAATAGCCAAAGCCATTCGCCAAAAATCAAAATATCGTCCTTTTACATAAATTAGTAAAGTTTAATCAGGTAAAATAAATTTTTTACGTCTGTTGCACAAAATTCATTTCAGTTTTCTATAAAAGTCCTTATTTTTGAAAGGTTTCTCAGGGTATTTTATGATTCCATGATTTTTAAAGGATTAAGAGATAAACAGTTTCCTTATTTTTATAAAAAAAAAAAACGATAGAACTTCTGAAATCCAATAATAGACTCTCTAAAGGACCCCTTGTAGAACATACAATTTCAATATTGAAGTCTTGTTAATGGCCAACTACTCATTTTAATATTAAAAGCCTGGAGTAGGGATACTTAGATCGACTTTTGCCTTTAAAGATATTTTTTTCGATTATAATATTAATACGGCCAAAAAGTATTTCACTACTATTTCACTAGTTATTCGATTTTTTGTTCCTCAAATAATGTAAAAAATTTGATCCTATCAACCAAAACAATCTAGAATTGAAAATGTTTACAAGAGAAACATCTTTTCCCAAAGGTTTAAAGTTTTCAATTTCTAATTACGAATGAGTTTCTATTTTACAAAATGTTCATACAATTTACATTTCAGTCTTTTTTTTTGACATCCTGAACTCGCCGGGAAATAAAAATAATGCCATTAATATGTTTTTGTTTTAATGTTTTCTTTATTAGTTAATAATAATTTGTTTTGTTATTTGTTGTTCTTGTTGTTATACATAATTTATTTCCCTTCATGTGTTGTTGTTGGTTTTTGTTTTGTTTTTTAATTTTTCTTTAATTTGTATATTCTCATTATTAGTTATTAGTATTATTAAATTTAATATAATTTCCTTTTTTTCTTTATATATTTTTTGTTATATTATTTTTGTTGTTTTTTTGTTTTATTAATGGTTTCAACTAACAAATTTATATATATTTTATTCTCATATATAATTTCTTTTTTATATATTTAGTTTATTTCTCAGTGTATGTAATTGAATGAAGTTGTTTGGTTGTTGCTGTTATTTATTCTTTTTGTTTTTTTTTAATGACAAAAAAATTAAAGAATAATATTTCACTATATAAAATGCAATACCATGGATTTTTTTTCATTAGGTTTTTTTTTGTTGTTTTTGCTTTATGTTGCTGACAATCGAGTTGAGTGATTTTTGTTGTTGTTGTTATTTATTATTAAAAATTTGATGTTGTAAATTTTTAATACGGTCGCTGTATTTCAATTTCAACTCGTAGTGTTTTCAATTGCTTTAAATGGAATTTAATGGGATTCTTGAATAGTTTTGCCACATTTGTTTTGGTTTGGGTTTTCGTTTTTTTTTTTGGTTTTCTTTTCGCTTTTGATGACATTGTAATGGAAGATAAAATGTTAAAAATTTGTTTTGTGAGAGGATTCAAAAAATGTTTGTATGTTTGTGTGTATGTATGGTGGGGTCTTGTAATGTTTTCAATGGGGTTTTAGTTGTTATTATTCGTTTTTATTATTATTATTTATTGTTGACTTTTCAATACTTAACAAACAATGCAAATAACATTTTTTTTATTATTATATTTTTTGTTGTTGTTATTTTTTGTATTTCTATAATTTTTCTTCTTCTTGTTAAAAACAATATAACTTTTTCATAGTTGTTTTGTTTTTTTAGGTTTCCATAATTTCCTTTTCTTTGTTGTTGTTGTTTTTATGTCCACTTAAATATATAAATTGTTTTTTATTTTATATTTTTAATGTAAATAGTTTATCCATTACTTTATAACATAAATATATGCATGTATATACTATTTGTTATATATGTATATCATATTTGCTTATATATGTTGTGTGTATGTGTGGTTTTGTGTTTTTGTGAGTATGTAAATGTGTGTGTTTCGTTTTATTTTTTCTATATAGAAATCAAAAAATGTGTATCCCTCTAAAAAACTGTACTATATATGTAAACGAAAAATTCTTTTTTTAAAAACTTTAACTATTTAATTTTTTTGTCATATATTTTTTATTATTATTTTTTTATTTTTTTAATAATATGTGTTAATATACAAAGATATACATTTATATTTTTATTATATATATAGTAAAGATTTATAGTGAAATTTTATAAATATATATTTATTTTTTTATATAAATATAAATATTTTTTTTTTTTAGAAAAAGAAATAACATACAATAAATTTTACACACATATTTGTTTAGTATTGATGAAAAACGATGGAAACAACAAAATATTTTCAGATGAAGCTTAGAGGTTATGTTTGCTGTAATACGAAGGAAATCGCTCGGTAAACTCTTTCGGAGCAAGCACAATTATAGTTTTTTGTTTTTTTTAGGAAAATAATTGAAAAAAGTCAATGAAAACAGGAAAAAGCGTTGCCACAACAGTTTAATCTATTGAAATAATTTTGAAAAATTATTTAATTATGCACCAAATAATATAAAAAATATATAGTTTGTTTTTTGTATTAAGTCATAACGAATTGATATCAGAAAACTAAAACGACCCACATAGGAACTGTAAAAGACATTCCATCTTTAGAGGACAAATTGGAGACCTTCTAAAAATAGAAAGTTTTTTAAAGGTCCCATTTTTTACGAGAAATTTGTGTAAGGATTGATCCAATATTCATATATAATGAACATATATTCATATTTTTCACATTCCAATAGAAGCTCTTATTAAATCCTATCAATTTCCTTAAGAAAGCTCTATTATCCATATATATTTATAGGAGAACTGTGGTCCTTTCTCTTGAGAATACGTGTAGAAGGCCTTTCATTAACACCAAACCTTCAAAAGATGTTCTAACTAGAGATGATCTGAAAAATCCTTCTACGTTTAAAATGCACACCTAAGGATATAAGAATATGTATGTAGGTCTTTACAGGGTATAACATCTAAAGGATACCAGTAGAGGGACTTATGTTCCCAGAAATGATCCTAAACAATATTTTCATTGTATAAAACATTTAGAAATATTCAGATATAGGAAAGACCCGTTAAGGTATTCTATAAAAAGAATATAATCTCTTAATGTAAGGCGTTTAGAAAATCTTATATCTATTTAAGGGTACTGTTTATCTATAGAAAACCTGTTGGAAGCCGTACACCTACAGAAAATTCTTAGGTCGCATTTTATCTATAGAAGAATAGCCCAAGCCTTTCGCCAAAAATCAAAATATCGTCCTTTTACATAAATTGGTAAAGTTTAATCAGGTAAAATAAATTTTATACGTCTGTTGCATTCTAGTTTTCTATAAAAGTCCTTATTTTTGCAAGGTTTCTGAGGGTATTCTATGATTTTATGACTTTTAAAGAATTAAGAGATAAAAAGTTTCCTTAGTTTTATAAAAAAAACGGTAGAAGTTCTGAAATCCAATTATAATACAGAAGACTATCTAAAGGACCCCTTGTAGAACATACGATTTCAACATTGAAGTCTTCTTAATGGCCAACTACTCATTTTAATAGTAAAAGCCAGGAGTAGGTATACTTAGATCGACTTTTGCCTTAAAATATATTTTTTTGATTTGTAATATTAATACGGCCAAAAAGTATTTCACTACTTATAGTTTATAGTTATCCGAATTTTTACTCCTCAAATAATGTAAAAAATTTGATCCTATCAACCAAAACAATCTAAAATTGAAAAAAAAAGAAAAGAAAAAACTCTTTTCCCAAAGGTCATTTAAAAGTTTTCATTTCCCTGATTACGAATGAGTTTCAATTTTACAAAATGTTCATACAATTTACGAAAAAGTTGACCCTAGACACATTCTTAATTCGAATATTTAATGCTTATTAAAATAGCTTGTAAGTTTCATGAAAACTTATGAAAGGTCAGTTTAAAACAGAAAAATTTGACCAAACGCATTAATCGTCTAATATTTTTGATGATATGTTCATGGAAGCAGATAAAAGGAAATCCTATGACTTCTTACAGGGGTGATGTTTTGCACCTCAGTTTTTTTTTCGTATAATTTGCCATCAATTCTTGTGAAAAATTTTTAGATTTAAAATCCGATCAATTAACCAGTAAACCGTTCAATCGTTTAATATAAAAATAGCTCTTGATTCTCATTTTCCACACAAAATTGATCGAATAAATTTAAATCGAACACTTTTGCAACGTATCAAATTGTATTTTTAATAGAGAAAAATATACAAAATTGTTGACACCGATGTAGTCAGAAATGGACCATTTTGGGGATTCCAAAAGACCGGGAGAAAATTTCTTAAACACATCACAAAAAAGGATGCGTTTTTTTCGTTTTTCGGTAAAAAGTTTTAATATTATACTTTAAAGTCGAATCTCACACTGAATGCCGATAATAATACGATACCACTTCTTTTTTAAAAGAAGCCCTCAAACAGGTCTTTCTTCTATATAATTGAAACCTTTTTATGGTGACGTTTCGATTAGCTAAAAATGAAAAATATCGTCCCCATTTAAAGGTCTGTCATTTAACGTGCTACCCAAAAAAAATCCCAGAATAGTTCCACAATCGTTTATTATAAAAATAACTCTTCTTAATATCAATCACTGCGATAGGATTTTTTTTACTAATTTCAGGGATATTCTTGTGGTAAATTGCACGCTCAAAATTGGGGTTCATTCTATGGAAATCCCTTAGAAAACATATTTTCTATATATAAATCGATTTCTTTATAGAAAATAATTAGAAGACTTTACGTATACTGAGGCCCTCTAAAAGTGTTTCTTATTCTAGAAAATCTCATATGATATTTCTTTCACATCAGACCTTAGAACTCTTCAAATAATTCCGCACTCATTTATTATAAAAATAACTCTTTTTTAATATTTCTTTGCATTAACATATTTTTTTACTAATCTAAGGAATAGGTTTGTGGGTTATTGCAATCACAAAATTGGGTTCCTGTCTTTAAAAAAACTAAGGAAGGTCTTCATTATTGAGAAATCCTCTTTGATTTATAGAATATTTTTTTAAATAAAACTTAAATTTTTATATAAGATCGCAAATAGAGTTTCTATCTAGAAAATGTCGATTTCTCTATGGGTATAGGGAAAGCCCCAAAAAGTTTTCTTATTTTAGAAAATCCCAATATTTATGTCATTCACATCCGACATCTTCAAATAGTTCCATACGCATTTATTATAAAAATAACTCTTCTCTAATATTTCTTTACGTTAAGCCAGAAAAAAAAAATACTTCCCTATACACCACAGCCTAAAAAAGTGTTTTTATAGAAGACCTTAAGGTTTTTCCCTAGAAGACCCTAAGGGCTTTTTCTTGGAAAAGAAGAATCCCTTCTTCCTGTTAAATGCCTTTAAAATGTATAATTTTTATATAAAACAGTACTCTGCCTTTGAAAGTCTTGGAACTATCAAAATGTTCTTTTTAATACGGAAAATTTCAAAAAGATATCCTAAAAAATGAGTTTTTAAAGTTCCACCCTTTATAAAAGACCTGTAAGTCTTTGGTTAATAAGATACCTTATTATTATTTTTTTAATAACACTTTTTAAAGATGATACCCTAAAGGTTTCTTTATTTCGACGTCTTTCAAAGAGTATCCTCTTCAAAAAGTACTTAAAACTGTTTTCTCCCCAAAAGAAAATCTCAAACCGATATTCTTTCTATGAAAGACTTTGGAAAGGATTCCTTTTATAGTAGACATTAAAACAATCTTATTGTTCTTTAGACCTTAAATAGGTCATGGAGGCTTCAAAAACCAAATCTGCTGTGAAAATAAAACTTTCAAATATCTACATTTAACTAAAAGTCTACTGCAATCTTTATTCTATAGAAGAATACCAACCGGACTGCTTTTCAGACAAGACCACAAAAAAGTGAAGAGCTGAAAGATGTATTGCCTCAATAAAAGATCTTTTTGGTATTCTACCTCTAAAGGACCCCATGGGTTCTGTCTACATCCATAATAAAAGGACCTCCATAAATCCCCCTCTTCAAAGGGCCTCCTATCTATTGAATACCTTTACAATTACTTCGATTCATAGAAGACCCTAAAAAGGGCATACATCTGCAGAAGTCCTTAAAAACGTATTTTTCTATGGAAGGTCTGAACCATCTCCTATAAATCAATGATTTTATCTTTATGTTTTTCTACGTTTTCGTAAGACGTTTCTTTATTTTATACGTATCATAGTATGTGGGAACCTAATACAACCGATTTCTAGTTTTCATAGACCAATTCGTTTACAAAAAAAATATACAAAACTAATTGCAAAGCTATTCCTAAAACCAAATTTTCATTGGGCAATTATAATTTGCGCAATTGTCAGTTTTTGGCTACGAGAGGTTGTTGAGAAGTCAGGGATCTCCATATTCCCCAAACTCTCCCACAACCATATTATGACATTTGCGGCAATTGTTGTTGCCTACTGTAAATCAGGAGTAATTATTAGAATCTAAAGAACATATACTCACAACGGATTTTGAGGTTTGGTTTGGGGTTTAGGCAAAAACTATGATTTTCTTTTTTAATTTTTTATTGTTTTTTTTCTGGTTTTATTTTTAATTATCATAAACATAATTATCAATAATAATAATAATAATAATTTTAATATTATAATTACGTTTGTTTTTTTGTATATATATAGATTTTAGCATAATTTATTTTTTTACTAACAATTTTCTTTGTTTATTTTAGTTGTATTTTTGTTTCTGTTAATTTTTCTACAAATTTTCAGAACCAATGCTGTTTTGTTGTATTCTCTAGGATGGTTATACATTGAAACGGAAAATATTAACTATTATTGCAGGGGTTTGTTGAAAAAAAAAAATAGAATTGAAAATTATAAATATTGTTTTTTTATAACGAACACAGTTTTATATATTTTTTTGTTTTTATGTCTTTTTTAACTAACAGGGAGAAATACAAATAGAAAACGTAAACTGTGTGGCAACGTTTAACTATATACTTTTATTTATTATTTATTTAATTGTTTTTTTTGTTGTTATAATTTTTATATTTATTTCTTTCTTTTTACTATATAATAATATTTTTATTTAGTTTAATATAATGATTTATAATTAATTATAAATTTAAAGTGTTTTATACATTATGTTTGTTGTTGTCTTATTTCCTTTTTGAGTGGTTGTTGTGATTTCTTTTTTTTTTGGAATTTTTTTCTTGTTATATATTTTGGTTTATTTTAATAAAATTCATTTTTTTATTTATTTAAAATGTAAACAATATATGGTTTTGTTGTGGTTGCCGTTATTTTTTTTTTGTATATTATCAATTAAGTAAGTTTATGTTTTGTTAATTTTTTCATCTGTTTATACACCATAAATTCAAATGCAATTTTTTTTGTCTATTTTGAAATTGGAATTGTATTTCCATTTTTTTTTCAATTAATAATTTTCGTATTTATTTATGCATATAGAAATAAATAATAAAACATCAATTGTCTTTTTCGTTTTAAATATACGTATCCAATAAACTGTTATGTAGAGGGGAAGGAGAGAAGAAAAACATGAGCGAGAGACCAGAAAACAAACAGAGAGAATTTTTATTGGATTTTGGGGTTTCAATGATCAAATTTGTTGGGATGATCTGAGAGAGACTGATGTGTTTGTAATTAACAATTTGTTGTTGTTTTATTGCAATTATTCCCTATTTTTTTTTTTTGTATTGGAGGAGCCGTGACAGAAAACAGTTTTCATGAAAAATAAAAATTTAGTTAATTTGGGAAAGAAGAGAGGGAGAGTTATCCCACTTTTCCTCTTTCGCAAAAAACCGATTATTTTTTCCCTTGAAATTTTCTATATTTCATTTCCGACTAATTACACTGTGTTACAGGTTATTGTGGTAGTGGGGTTATAATTGAGAATAATTTCCTATTGTATTAAGAAAAGTCGGATTATGGAAGATCTGGTACCAGGGAATATTTAGTGAAATTGTAAAGAAGTTAGTTACAGAATGGACCGGAAAACCGACATCGGAAAGACCTTTTGGCATTGAAATAGCCCGTAACGCCTCAAAATATGATATTGTTTTTGAACTTCAAGTGAAACACACTTCCTTCGCATGAAAGAGCTTTAGAAGGTCTTGTATATGAAACCCCCAAAAGATCTATGAAGATTTACGAAGTGTAGAAGATCTAAAGAAAGGTTTTCTGTAAATCTTCTATGTAAATTACGTTTGTTCCCGAAAAAGAGCTCTAATAGACTTACTACCTGTAAATCAGATTTTTATGCAAAGGCTTTAGAAGGTTTCTCAAGAAGAAAAGAGAACTCAAGGAAGTCTTCTTTTTGTAGAAGAGCTCAGGGATGTCTTCTGTTTATAGCAGACTTTAAGGAGGTTGTCTGTTTATAGCAGAGCTCAAGGGGGCTTCTATTTCTCAAGGAGACCCTCTCTTTACAGTAGAGCTCGAGAGGTGTTCTGTTTATTGCAGAGCTCAAGGAGATCTTGCATTTATAGTGTAGCTCAGGAAAGACTTCTATTTATAAAAGAACTCAAGTAGGACTTCTATTTATAGTAGAGCTCAAGGAGGTCTAATATTTATAGTAGAACTCAAGGAGGTCTAATATTTATAGTAGAGCTCAAGGAGGTCTAATATTTATAGTAGAGCTCAAGGAGTTCAATTTATAGTAGAACTCAATGAAATCTTCTATTTACAGTAGAACTCAAGGAAGTCTTCTATTTATAGTAGAGCTCAGGGATGTCTTCTGTTTATAGCAGAGCTCAATAAGGTCTTCTATTTATATTGGAGCTCAAGGAGGTCTAATATTTATAGTATGGTTCAGGGAGGACTTCTGTCTACAGAAGAGCTCAAGGTGGTCTTCTGATTATAGTAGAACTCAAGGAGGACTTCTACTTATAGCAGCGATAGAGGAAGTCTTCCATTTATAGTAGATATCAAGGAGCTCTTCTAATTATAGTAGTACTCGGAGAGGTCTTCTATTATAGTAGAGCTCAAGGAGATCTTCTATTTAAGGTAGAGCTTAAGAAGGCCTTATTTTTATAGAAGATCTTCTAATTATAGTAGAGCTCAAGGAGGTCTTTCATTGGTAGATAAGCTCCAGGAGGTCTAAGCTTAAAGCTTAAGGTCTTCTATTAGTAGAAGAATTCAAGGTAGTCTTCTATTTGTAGCTAAGTTCAAGGAAGTCTCCGATTTATAATAGAGCTCAATTAGATCTTTTAGTTATGGAAAAGCCCTAGTAGGTATTCTATTTAGAAAAGAGCTACGAAAGGTCCCGAATTAGAGCTTCAAGAGGGCTCCTACATATTGGATAGATCTGTAATTGTCCTTATGGAAAACATTTGGAGAGGTAATTTCTTCTATAAGTAAAAGAATTCAAGATGGTCTTCCATTTGTACCAGAGCTCAAGAATGTCTCCAGTTGATTAAAAAGCTCAAGGAAGTATTTTAGTTATGGAAGAGCCCTAGAAGTTCTTCTATATAGAAAAGAGCTCCGAAAGGTCTTGGAAATAGAGTAGGAGACCTCTTGGTCTCCTACATATTGGATAGATCTGTGAATTTTTCTCCTTATAGAAAACTTTTGGAGAGGTCTTTACGAAGGCCATTTAACAAGTCCTCTTAAAAGAAGCCCCTTTTGAATTTTGCCATAACCTCACTTTTCTAAAACTTGGAAATTGGAAACCTTCTCAATTCTAACCCCATTATGGGCTGGATATTTTAAAATATTTATATATCTAATAAAACTCTAACACAGTGCATAGTTCTATGGAACTTCAAGAGAGAAAGGGAAAAGAGATTCCCAAAGGAAATTTCTGCTCTCTTCTCCAATTGATTGGCAGGGGGACATTTGTGTAAGGAACAAAAAGGATTTGGGTTTCATTATTTAAATTTCTTAATATATAACCAAGATTGTTTTTGGTTTTTCTTGTTGTTGTTACTCTTATTCAAGTGGTAGTATTTGTTGTTGTTGACATTTCAGGCTTATATGGTAAGTTTGTAATTTGTGTGTGGTTGGTTCTTTAACAAAACAATACAAAATTATTATTAATAAATGAATTTGTTAATAAATTAATTTGTTGTAACATTAAGAAAAATTGGAAATTGTTGTTGTTGTAGTACTTTGTTTGTTTGTTTGTTATCCATTGGCAAAACACTAGAAGAGCGTAAAAAATGATTGATCTCGTTGATAGCCCAACATGACACGTTTTAAATCTTTCAAAGTTCTAAATTGAATTTTTGTTACAATTTTAAATTAGCAAAAGTTGGTAGTGGTTATACATTTCCATACACAGTTAATTATATAGTATTTTTTGTATATAACAAATATATAAAAGATTATTTTGTTGGACCACAAAAATATTACCGAAACAATCACAAGAAACAATGTGGGTATGTCAAAAGTTGAGTGTATGTTTGTTTGAATATACATAAACGTGGGCGGGGGGAAGGGAAAGACGGAAGATAAAACACATATATAAATGTTTGTCTTAGAACTTAGAAAAAACTACGATATAAGCTCTTAATTACTTTAAATCATCGGTATCTTCAATTAAATCGGCATATTCCTCCCAATCGTTGTTTGCATTGCGCGTACGTGATATTGTCGGCAGATCATCGTCGTCGTCCTCGTCGTTGCCGCCACCACCACCACCAGCTGCTGCAGACTTCTTCGAACCATTATCAACTACCTCGAAATCTTTAAGTTCTGCCTCCAGATCCTTTTCCCATTGTTCCTCTGTGGAAAGCATGGCATAAAACAAAGCAAGGGCGGGGAAGAGAAATACAATTCACAATTAGTAAATGTTTTTAGGAAAATGCCATAAATATATCAACTATAATAAATAAATGTAGTATATATAAAATTCATAAATATTATTTATTAAAAAAATAAATAAATAAATACAATTATATATTTTGGTTAGTAAAAGCATAAACATTTATTATTAATATTATATGTTAATTGGTTAATTGTTAGGTTTTTAAATAAAATTAAAATAAAAGAAAATCCAAAAACATTACAATAAATGTGATAAATTACGGTTCACGGTTCTACTACACCATCATACATATATAAGAAAGTAGCAGGTTGAGAATATCCTATCTCTGAAGAATAGATTCAAATAAATAGTTATTCTATAACAAGAAGATATCTATGAAATCGTCTGCACATATTTAAAGAGCTAGGAGGTACCCAATTCGTGGAAAGCTCAAGGCGCCAAAGAGGTGCCCATGTATCGAAGAGCTCAAAAGAGGACTTTTAATCATAGATGAGCTGAAAAGAGAGCTTCTATTCATAGAAGACTTCAAAAGAGGTCTTCTATTTATAGAAGACTTCAAAAGAGGTCTTCAATGAAGAGGAGAGGTTGAATAGTTCAGAAGAGGTATTCTATGTATAGAAGAGCTCAATAGAGGTATTCTATGTATCGAAGAGCTCAAAAGAGGTCTTCTATGTATAGAAGAGCTCAAAAGAGGTATTCTATGTATAGCAGATCTCAAAAGTCTGTCAAAGGTCTGTTATGTATAGAAGAGCCCCAAAGAGGTCGTTTATGTATAAAAGAAGTCGTCTGCTTATAGGTGAGCTCAGCGATGTATTCTACTCATAGGAGGGCTCAGAAAGGACTTCCATTTATAGAAGAGTTCGGAAAGGTATTCTACTCATAGAAGAGCTCAGAAAGCTCTTCTATGGAGCTCAGCTATGAGCTCAGAGAGCCTCATGGAGGTCTTTTACGTATAGAGTATCACCGGAAGGTCTTTTACATAAAGAGCACCTCCGGGAGGTCTTTTACATATAGAGGACCTCCGGGAGGTCTTTTACATATAGAGGACCTCCAGGAGGTCTTCTACGTTTTGGGCAGCTCCAGGAGGTCTTCTACGCATAGAGGACCTTCGGGAGGTGTTCTACGTATAGAGGACCTTCGGGAGGTCTTCTACATGTAGGAGACCTTCGGGAGGTCTTCTGCGCGTATAGAGGACCTCCATAAGTTCTTCTACGTATAGAGGACCCCTAAAAGGTCTTCTTCGTATAGAGGACCTCTAAAAGGTTATTTACGTATAGAGGACCTCTAAAAGGTTATTTACGTATAGGGGACCTCTAACAAGTATTTTACGTATGGAGGACTCCAAGAGGTCTTCTACGCATAGATGACCTCCAGGAGGTTAACTACGTACATATGACCTCCGTGAGGTCTTCTACATATAGATGACCTCCGAGAGGTCTTCTACATATAGATGACCTCCTGGAGGTCTTCTACATATAGAGGACCTTCGGCAGGTCTTCTAAATATAGAGGACCTCTAAGATGTCTTTTACGTATAGAGGACTTCCAAGAGGTCTTCTACGCATAGATGACTTCCACGAGGTCTATTACGCATAGATGACCTCCACGAGGTCTATTAAGAATAGATGACCTCCAGGAGGTTAACTACGTACATATGACCTCCGTGAGGTCTTCTGCGCATAGATGGCCTCCAGGAGATCTTCTACGCATAGAGGGCACCAGGAAGTATTTTACGTATAGAGGACCTTTCATGAGAACTTCTACGCATAGTTGAGCTCCAGGAAATCTTCTAGACGTAGATGATCTCTAGGAGGTCTTCTAGCCATAGATTCTTAAAAGATTTGTGCTTAGAATATCTTCGGAAGATTTTCTTGTTTAGAAGACCTCTTGAAGGTCTTCCGCGCAAAGAGAATTCCTTAAAGAGCTCTGCATTAGCTTTAACGTGTGGATCTCTTCTTGGGCACACTTTTGGGAAACTTTTGTCGAATTGTACAATTTTTCAAGGATTTTTTGAGGAATATTTTTTTCAGCGCTATAATCTGGGATTTTTAAGCTAAGTCGGATTATATTCTAATATTTTTGAAGGACTAATCGAGGATATTTAAATAAAATTTTTCAAGGACTATAAATTGCATAACCTAGGATTTTTACGAACTATGTATGTTAAAATCGCGGATTTTTTAAATAATATTTTTAAAACTATAATCTATGATTTTTTAAACATTTTTTTCAAAGATATTCAAGGCTATCATCTATGATTTTTCAAGAATTTTTTCAAAGGGATTCGGGGCTATAATCGATTATTTTTTATATATTTTTGTAAGGATATCAAGGGTACAATCGTTTATATTATTTTTTTATGACGATTATTAATACTGGAATAAAGTATTTTTGAAGCATTTTTCTCACGAACTGTCAATACTGTTATAGAGGAGTTTTTTGAATTTTTTTTTTTGACTTTTTGAAAACTTTATAACCAATAATAATTGATTTTTTTATGAAAATTTAAGGCCCGGGAAGTTTTAGAGAATAATTTTTGCAGGTACTACCAATACCATAATTTTGAATTTTTCCAGAATATATTTTCCACAATGCTTTAGTTTAAGTTTTTATAGGAAAATTTCTAAGGAAGAATTTTTTAAGTATTTTATCAAGGACTACCAAGGCTTAAGTCGTGAATTTTTTGCTAATGTTTCAAGGATTTTTGAACACTTTTTTTGGGATTTTTAGGGCAAAGACGTGAATTTGAAAGACTAACGTGGCTATAATTTTTTCAAGAACTCTCAAGACCTATAATCTGATGTTTTTGGCAAGTACCTTTTTCAAGTGCTATTCAAACTATAATCAAGGGTTGTTTAATGTATATTTATTTAAAGACTTTCAGGACTTCGATCGTGTATTTCCATGGATAATTAAGGCTATAAATCTGAGTCTTGAAATATTTTTAAGAAATTATCTGGCAATAATCTTGGGTATTTCAATATATTTTAAGAACCACGTCATATAAATGATATTTTTCAAGGACTGTCAAAGATTTAATTGACTATATATTTCTTGTAGGATTTGTTTTGTTTACGTTTCCTGATAAATTTTTCTCTTTATCACATAATTTATCACATTTGTTGTCGAGTTACCAAAAAAATATAAAAATTATTTTTAAAACATGTATGGGTGATATTAAAAATAAGCATTACATGACACATACATACATACACAGATATGCATTCAGGGACACACATATAAATTTACACATAAAATAAATTTATTTGCAAATTCACTTAATAAATTATGGTCTGGTTATACCATCATTCGTTTAGTATGTATGTGTTGCAATGTAAGTTCCGATATATGAGATATGTGTGTTGGTGGTTTTTTTTTTTTTGTTGTTGTTAAACTCTCAAAAGTTTACCCAAAATAGTGTGTAAATTACAAGATCGATTAAGTGCTTTTGGCCCAGACACCGTTAGTTTGTTCGGATTAGTTAGTGACAATCCCACAATTATTGAATCAACTTCATAAAAATTACCTTTAAATAAATAAAAGTGTGTGTACGACACACAATAAATAAACATAAATATAAATAAGAGAATTTGTATTTTTGTTTTGTAGTTGTTGTTGGTTTTTTTTTCTATTGCAGGATTAGTTGTCGTCTCTTGGAAATGAATTTAAACAAAAACTGTGACACACAATACTTTTGGGCAAACGTATGGTAACTGAAATGTAATCTTGTTTTTTGGTATTTTTGGTTTAATGGCGCAAAGGAGGGAACGAGGAAGAAAAAATAAACACAAACGGGGGGGAAATGAAAACAAAACAAAAAACATTAAATTAAAAATAAAAATATTTAACAAAAAAAAAATATTTTTTTTATATGGTTATAGGTATATAAAAATGATATGTATTTTTAAATATATAAGCATTCTTTGAATATTTTTATATATTTTTTGTATATTACACAAAATATATTTTCTATATATATACTAATAATAATTATGACATTGGCAATGCAAGCATTTACTTTTAAATTAACAACAAAAAACAAAAAAAAACGTAAAAAATATTATTAGCACATTTAAAAATGTCATGGGGTATTGTTATATTGCCATTGTATTGTAACAAACAAATGAGGGGGAAAAAAGAATTCTCTGCTACTCATAAAATAAACAACAAAAAGAATTATGTTATATACAAAATATATTTTTTTATAAAATATCTATAATTCAAATCTGTTTTTTTTTAAGACACAGTGCATTCCAAAACAATAGTAAAAAACATAAAAATTAATAAAAAAAAGTAGAAAATATTGTAACATTTACAAAATAATCATTTGAAAAAAAAACAACATTCTTTCCAAGTAGTTGGAAAGTAATGTTTATAATATATTTATGGAAGGGTAGTGGGAGTTTGGGAATAATTATTATTTTTTGGTTCACTGTAAATAAATTATCGATTATTTATCGATTTTGTGTGGTGAGTTGGTATTATACGATTTAAAGTTGATTGATATAAAAAAAGAAACAAATAAAATTATATTGATAATAAATGTATGTGTGTGATTGCGATATACATAACTTTCTTAAATGTTCTAAAATTGAAACTGTACGTTTTACATGTGGCGAAAATATGGCTCCCAACATGAAAGCAATTCTAGTAGTAAATAGGAGAAGGGTTGTGGAAAATTAGGCCTAAACTTTTCCATTAATTGGTATTATATTCCATAGAAGCCTTTTCTTTTATAAAATACCGAAAAATAGTTTTATATTCTTTGAAAGAAGACATGAAAGACGTTTCGGTTTTCTTTCTACATTCTACAGGACATTTCCCAAAGGATACGTTTTCTTGTAAAAAATATAAAACATTTTGTTTGAAAGTTTTTCCGAAGAGAGGAAGATCATCTATACATTACATATTTCATATGTTTTTTTTTAAATATATTTTTTTACAAGGGATATCGAGGA